AGGCTTTCTGATGGCTTAGGCTTCACTTATTCTCTTCTATTTCTTTTAACTTTATACGCGTTAGTGCTAGCAAGCAATGTTCCAGCTGACAGCTTTCTCACTCAGACTTCATAAATATGCACAGAGTACTTTGCAAACATTATCAGCTTCAGCCTTGCTATTAATAAGAAACACTAAGCCCTTTATAATGCACAAAGAATTCAGAGAAATACACTAAGTAAAGCATTTCCTTGTTTCAGCTCCAGAAACGCACTCGGGATGTACTAGGGGGTGCTTTCCAAAAGAAGGACCGTAGATGAAGGTCAGTGCTACTTCACTGGCACAGAACTGTGCGAGCCGTTAAGAGACTGCAGAAACCGCACAGGAACACCCTGCCTGAAGCGCGTGTGAGCAGTGCGTGTTACAAGGCTTCAAACTCCTTTCGCTAGAGGATTTATGAACCAAGGAGACAACCGACTGCCATGAAGACCTCACATCCTGCACAAGTTCTGGGGGAAACACACCGTAACAGAAGAGGAAGAACCCAGTGGAAGCCCAGCAATGGTATTACTTGCCAAGCGGCCAAACTGGTCAGGGTCACTCACCGCTTGGGACTCGGCTTGGCTGAGACGCGCTGCTTTCAGTTGCCTTCTCTCCGGCTACAAGGAGAGTCTGAATATCCGTGTGAGATTTGCCTAGATCAGTCTCCCCTGAGGCCAGAGCCCTGCAGTGCAACACCAGTGAAACATCTCTGTTGTACAAGTGGAAATACTGACAAACGCGGCTGGCTTCATGCACGCTTCCTTCATCGAGAAGGCATCCGATCAGAAACTGGAGCGATTCCTCCTCAGCGTTAGTCAAGGTCTGCTGAGACTCCCTGCATGCAAGACCCTCTAGTTTTAGGTACTTTGGGGTGTTCAGAGCAGGTAGCTTTGAAAAAGCAAACTCCTTAGCTAAGTTATCAAAGGTAGGATCCCTGCTCGCTACCGCTTGGGAGGAAAATCTTGAGCTGCCTGACCCCTCATCTGCGGATAACGTTTGTTGTGCGATGCGACAGATCCAGATCTGCTTCTCTATCTCTTCTAACCTGTGCAGCGACACCGAGTCACTCTTGGCTAGCCAATGGCCAGCCAGGGTAAGCAACAAATGTCTCTCCATAATGCTGTTTATCTTCTCAGGAGCTGAAGGTTCAAATACTGCGTTTGCCTGATCAAAAAAAAACTCAGACGCAGCTTTGCTGGAGACTGAATTTTTCATGAAGTTGTCATGACATTTCTTCCAGAATCCAATTCTCGTCTGGTTTTGATGCCACTGTCCAGTGTCTCTTAAACGATGTAGATCTCTTAGAACCTGCAAAATTCACAGAGGTTTTGAACGACTGTCTTTCCAAAAGAGAAAAACCACGCTGGGTGGCCAGCGTACCGAAAAACTGAATTTGGATTAAGTGCCTCAATATGCAACAAATACACCTGCTTTTCTCACCAAATAGAACTGATTGCATAGCAAGTGAAAATAGTAAGGGAATAAGGAATAAGCTCAGCTCCTACAGCCAACTTGTTTGGGGTACTTGCATTTAACATAAAAAGTCATCTGAAGAAAAATTTGTGCTTCAGGAAGGCTGAGGAGTAACATTCTCACTACTGCCAGCAACAGGAGTATGAAGAGGTGAGCCCCAAACCGTACTGTACCTCTTGTGTAACCACGTTGTCCACGGGCAGCTCAGCTAGGGCTGCGACCTCCCGAGCCAGCGAGAACATTCCTTTCTCCTGCAGCTGCTCCAGAATCGATCTGCACTCACCCTGAAACGTCTCCATACTGGAACTGGTGAGGATGGAGCGATTAATCGGTATGGAGGAATCCTTCAGGGTCTCGCTGAGTGCACAGAGTTTCTTCACGTAAGGGCCTGTTTTAAAAGGGTATAAACAACTAAAGGCAGCCGGGTTTTAAACCGGAGGAAATTCTGCTGCTTATTTCAGCAACCCTCCAGAGAAGCACTCTGAAGCTTTCACGGGGCTGAAAATAAGCTCTAAATCCACACCTAAAATACTTCTGCAGATCATCTGTGCGCTCCTCATCAACACTTGCGCGCAATCATTCTCCCAAGCACACTTACACACAGTTCCGCTTCCACCACTGCAGTCCTCCGTAGGACCACGTCCGGTTACACAAAAATAAAAAAACACGTGAGCATTTCCAGTCCCCCCAAACCCACTGTACGTGCTCTTTAGACGGAAGCAGTACTATCCTCTACAGAGGGAGCTGAATTTACCATCGAGTAGGAGATCATCTGCCGCAGCAAACAGCCGTAAGAGCTTTCCCAATTCATACTCCGTCCTACACTGCTGCATCATCAGCTCAAGAAGAAACAACGCTTGTGACTCCAGCCATGGCACAGGTAAGTCTGAAGCTGCTGGTTCACCTTCAGTTTTCAGCTGTGTACATAAAGGTTTTCAAGTGTTGGGTTGGGTTTTTTCTTGCAAATACATTCTGCATTTTGGAAGGAACCGCAGTGCAAATGGAAGGGGTACCCGATCTACCTCCTCCTTTCGGAAACAATGAACGTTCCCGAGGGGCACGGATCCACTACTGATGGGCGTTTGACTTTGCTCTGAAAGCAGTCAGTTTTACGGCAGGGTGACCACCAATTACTGCTGACAGTCATGGAAGAGACAAAAGGTGGAAGAAAGATCGAAACGGAGAGATAAAATGAACTGCTGGATGAACAGCTCCTGCCATCCTGCTGTCTGCTTTACAGGCAGATCCACTACGTGAGTGGCGCACGGGGAAAGGAAACCAATCCAGCCTCAGCTTGAACTGGAGGAAGGAAAACCACTAATAACATGGACTATTAGCTACCAAGATATGCCAGGAACTAGAAAATTGTGATGGACAGGGCAGAACTGAAGTAATTTGTGAAAACACCTGTCTGTGACAAACACAGAACACTGCATGAAAACACTCTGGTCCTCTTAAAACCAACTGCTAAGTCAGTGTTTTAATTGAAGTGTGTAATTCAGTTCACCGAGCCGTTTTCAAAGAGAAGTCTATGCAACTGCCAAAACTAAAGCAGTATCAACGACTTTTTCAGCAACTTTGAAACATATGCAAAAAAGCTGCCCTTCTTAAACAGATATTCCCTGTAAGTCACTGGTTTATCAGCTCAGTATTGACTCACCCTGCTCAGTACAGAACAGAGTATCCCACACTTACTCTCCCCAAATAATTCAATTTACCAACAGTGGTCCTACCTGGGTCAATGCCAGCATTCAAATAGGAAGCTACTCACACAAGGAGGATGGCATTGGGTTTCAATCTGCCCCTATCAACTTAAACCACAACGATTTAGAAAAATGCATTATGGGTTTTGAATTGCCCAAACCATTTTTCCACCTACTGCCAACAATAAAAAGAACCTGCTGAAACCCACGGCCTCACAAAGCAGCTCCTAGATCATTTAAGCATTCCCTTTTTCATTATTTTCATGTATGACATCAGGTGCCTATCGCATTCCAGTAAGGGAAGACCTAGGTATGACATTTAGAGAAAAGGAATTTGCTTACTTTTGTGAGACTCTCCTGAAACTTGTCCAGTTTGGTTTGAGCTTCACTGTATTTTTTACAGTTCATACATAGTTCATACATCTCCAGTATATACAGCACGGGGGAATCCTTTAAGACACAAAATAGGTTATAATTCTTCCCTAAAAATAACTCAATAAACGTAGAATTTGTCTTCCTCGCTACCAGAAAAATAAAGTTCTAATTTATTAAAATTGCATGCAAGGTTGATGCATGATCTGCAAATCTGTAATAACTGGAAGAAATTCCATTCAAAGATTTTCTTACTTAATCAGTGGATTACACCCAGGTTATCCATGCCCCAGGAAGGAAGACAGAGGGGGAATCTATAGGCCACCTCCTCTCCAAGATGATCTGAGATACACTTGAGTATACCAAAAAAAGACATTACTTTACCTTTAAAAAGAGCTGGAAGCCATTTAGAAGTGTTTTGCTTTTTTGCTTTCTCAAAAAGACTCTCCAGATAACTGACAGGTCATGAAGATCCCAAACGTGATCTTCTGCCGAGCTTTCAATATGGGCTGTGGCCTCAGCTCTGGCAGTATCATCCCCAGTAGTGATTATCCAAACACAGAGACAATGAATAATGTTTGCATCCTGCCAGAGGACAAAAGCGATGGGTTTATAACAGAGACAAACATCACCTCATTGTGTATCGCTTAGCGAAATGTGCTCTGCTTTTCACAATTACTACAAAAACTGAGAAAAAACCTCGACGAGTACGAACTACATATCGACCACTCAACGTAATCATGCACAACCATCACTTTGTTATTACTTATTCCTCTAAAGATAAATGACTTCATCCACACTCACTTGGAAACACGTGGCTAAAACACTCAGAACGGGAGCGTGCTCTCTCAGCCCTTCGGCCAAAAGGTAACGTGAAGGGTTGGCGTTCCCCTGACACCGGAAAAGGATCTGAAAGAGACTATCTGCGTCTTTGCTCTCGAGCACGCGGGCAGCGCTGCCTCCAGGCCTCCCTGCATCAGCACACGGAAAGGGTAACTTCTCCAACGCCAACATCAAGTGGTCTTGTAAAACGGGAGTGAAATCTTGAAGGATAGAAACGACCTAGGAAAACAGAACCAAAAGCGTCTATACAGAGCGAGATTCGAGGAGAACGAGGGGGAAGGAAGACCGAAGCATTAAATACACAGAAACGACAAACCAAAAATTCCAAAATTTGAATTTTTAGAACTTTTTTTTGAGACCAGAAGAAGTGTTCTGTAGGTGTGAAATATACTAATTGAACACTGAAGCTCACCCTTTTACTCGAAGCTGAAACGCCTCTCAGAGACGCTCATCTTCGGCATCTCCCTCACACTGCCAACAGCGCATCACCAACGGTCTCTAGTTAGTCACTGTTGTGTAACTACATATTTTGCTTTCCAAGACAACAACAAAGAGGTCCAAGATAAAATCCTGCACTTCCTAAGTACCATTTAACCTGGAATTCTCCAGTTATCTTCCTCGCATTACTTTTCCCAAATTGCTTTTAATTTTTACATCTTGGTAATATTTTCTTAACTTTTAAATTATGTTCAAACCAAAAACCGGAAGATTTCAATTCCCAAAAGCTTAAGTATCTTTACACAAAAATTGACGGAAGTTTTGAAAGGAAAGGTGAGTGGCTTTATTAAAACTTACACTGAACGTATGGTAACCCTCCATTAAAAAAACAGTAACTAAATGATCTTAAAAACCAAATTAAACTTACAAACAGTATGAGTATGTTTTAATTTGAACTACATTTCAAAGGAAAATTAAGCTCCTTCTTGGCAAATACTTTTGTGTCAAATTCACTTCAAAGAGACACTCAAATCACCCCTCTCTGAAAATTGTTTTCTCCACTACTGACCACTAACATCACATAAGACTTTTCAAACAGGGAATTTTTTTCCTAATCTTCTCCTTTAATAGTTAGCTTTCATGCTCTTAAAAGCATATTATTAGATCTGCTGAACAGTCAGCTCCCGCTGGAGTCAACTTCCTTTGTCCTGTGGTAGCTTGTCACATACCAAGAGGCAGAGAAAAGTAAAAAAGTTGGGAAATCCAGCAATAGGAGAAGGGCTATCGCAGTCGGAGGACATCGAGCATTCTGAGACAACTTCCGCCTCCCTGGAAACTGAGGAAGCTTCAAGTTTATGTTGCCTCCACAATGTGATATTGTCTTGTTAAAAGAATCTATTTTTCTCCTTTTCTTTTTTTTTTTTTGCTGCTCACCACAGACAAAGAACATTCTTGACAAACTCTGTCTTCATTTCCAATCACATGCAGGCGGCTCACCTCATCCGGCTGGTAGCTGTACAGCTGGCTCTGGATGACGAACTGCAGCCAGTCGTTGGATTTGGCGCATTCCTTCAGGTAAGAGGTACTCCGTCCGATCTGATGGAGCTTACAGAACTGCATTACCAAAGACCACTGCCTTCTGGAGTCACTGCACGTCCTGCATGGAATTGGAAGAGCATCAGCTGTAATTAACTGCTATTTACCCCAGAGGCTAACAACGTGTGAGCTCATCACGTGGCCGAGATCCACTGCCTGCAAACAGCAGCACCAGCGCTTCACTGCCTTCACTCCACTGTCACATCCCACGCTGCACCCTGGGGACATTCCCACCCGCCGGGGCGGGTCCTCTGTCACACCTCGGCAAGGCAGGCTTTGGAAAGGAGTCAACAATCTCCACTCCTGATGGTGCTGCAAGAGCTCTGTGGGACAGCGAGTCCAGCGTGCTGCTGCACTGCCTTACTGCTGCCAACACACGTCCGTTCCCTCTGCTGTTGGAAACCCCAAGGCTGCTGTATCCTAAATTCGAATATCGTGGTTCAGTTTACTGCAATAAACCACACACGGATCTCTCTAATATCCGAATACACAAACGGTAAAAGTTCAGCGCTCATCTCCATTTGCCAGCGCAACCCTTTAAATCACGTCTCACTCACTTCTTTATTCCTTGATGTTCAACTGCATCCCAAAAGGCTTCTTCTAAGGAGACAAGAACTTCTTCTGCTGCTGCTTTTTCACCATCAGCCAATTTTGTTAACTTTTCAACTGTTTAAAAGAAGGTATTACTGGTTCTGAGATGCTACTTGGGATTAGAGTAAGGATAATATTTGCAAAAGTACCAGAATCAAGGGGCAGAACAAATCCCTTTAATGTAAATGTTTCAGTAACTGTGCCAAGTCTGGCATCAAACCGGCTACGTGATTTTTGAAATAGAATTTCAACATTCAAATCACATAAACCCTTTTTTTTTTTTTTATTTTAAGTAAGCTCTACCCCCAGTTTTAGATAACATAGACGTTTTTAGAACGATCAGGAAAGTAGAACTAAATGCCAACAGTTTCCTAGTTGGGACAAGAAGAGACCTCTGGACCTACTTTAGAAAGTTGAATTTCGAAATGTTATTCCTAGTATAAATTTAATTTCCTTACAGCTTTGAACATCTGATTTCACTGCAGCTGTAAGGCAGTTCAAGCACAAAAGCAAACACAGATTTGGTAATGTCCCTTGGTTTAATCCTCTAGTTACATTATTATAACGTTACGCTGAATCTTTCTAAATATTACCCTGAGCCCTAGGCAGGTGTTTGACAGTGTCTATTAGATGCTCCTGCAATCCTGTCATATTACAGTTTTCCTGCCTTCTTTGGCATGCCAGGTTCAAAATTAGTAAGATGCAGGAATAAAAGAGCAAAATTCTTAGCTCTTCAAAGGACAGGATGCTTTGACTGCATTCCTGACAAGTTAGGCACCATCCTTCAATCCATCTCGGCTTCTCTCCCCAATAAATACATAGCACCCTATGTTAAAACAAACAAAAGACATCCTTACCCAAAGATTCCCTTATCTGATTGTGCTGAGACTCTTCATTTCTAGTTCTGTAACTGAAAATCATGTTTGCAACTTTAATATCGACCCTGAGCGTGAGGCTGTCCAGACCGAGCAACTCCAGAAAACACACACAGGCTGCTCCTACTGACGGCACGCTGAAGAGAGAAAGAGCTAAACCACAGGCTTCCTTTCCTGCTTGCTGAACCCTGAAACAAAAAGAACACCAGTTACACAGGTGATTGCTAACCAATTTTCGAACACAAATATTCCCCATGAAAACCAGTACCTACAAGGCTGCCCAAACTCCAGCCTTTCTTGGCGGGAAAGTTTCGTATTTATAAAAAACTGTAGGTACGAGAATAAAGCCCCACACGTGACAAGCACAGAGTTTGCAACTCAATAAGCTTTAACACAAAGTAAAGCCAAGGCATTTGATTCCAGACTGAACAAAAACCGCCCGTCTGCAGCTCTGGCGCGGGAAGCCCCAGGGCAGTTTCCAACCCCAGCCCTGCAGCATCGAGGACCTGAAACTCATCTGCGGGTTGGGTCAAGACAGAAAGGTACCCGCAAGGCTCGGGCACTGGCTGCTCCCGTGGTTATCTGAAATTGTTCCAGATTCATAACGACAAAAATCATGCAGGCTTGACTGTCTTCTGAGCTACGAAGTACTTCAGTCTACATTAACGTACGTGCTCCTTTTTGCTCAAATCTTCGCTGTTTACACATGAGAAACTGACTTGTACAGAATGATGAAAAGAAACAGTGACTAACACACAAACTGACCTTCCAGAAACAAACCGATTTGTTCTGAGGTAACTCCTACTAATTCTGAATACACTTAATGGTAAATTTGACATATTCAAGCAAGATGCATAACTTGACTCTGCCCTTTTGAACACTTGATTCTGAAGCTTCAGCCAGAAAATTTAATTCCTCCAAGCTCCAGTACGTTATTTGTCTTATTAATTTAACTAAAGAAGTGTCACCCTTAGGAAATGTCAAAGAAAAGGGGCATCTTCTTTCTGAAGTGATCTAGAGGGTCAGGTCCCTAGAAGAAAAGCCTACCCGTGTTTGATATGACTGGAACATTCCCCACTCCTTGCTTTCATCGTGCAGATTTTATTTAGGTAACTCAAGACAGAGCTCACCTTCTGTTAGGTTGTATTTCATGTCTGCCCTACTCACTGCTCAACTGAGCAGACTGCTGGGGCGACTACAACTCCAACGATGCCAGGCACACCCGACGCCAGGCACACCACTGGTTTGCTGTTGGGGGGCACTAAAGTTACCGCACGGGCTAGATTATAACCTCAGGTCTGCGGTCGGCCTGTTCCAGGGGCTAAACTGGAACGGCCGCTCCATCACCCCACAATCCCTCCCCAGCCAGGGAGGAGAATCAGGAAAGAGAAGGGCAGACCCGTGGGTGGAAGAGAAACAGATTCAGCGAACCACCACCACCACCAGCAGAGATACCCCGAGCTGTGCTCAGCCAAATGAACATCCCGCTGTCGCAGCCGACCGGCGAGCAGTCCTCAGGAGAGGCCAGAGGAGGAGCAGGAGGAGGCTAAGCAGGAACCCCACAGGAGCTCCCTCTCCTCAGCAAACCCTCCCCGTTATAATGACCACGACATTACGGCACGGGCCACCCCTGGAGCTCGCTCAGGGCAGCTGCCCTGGTGAACCGAAACTGCTCAGGGCCTGCCCGGCCCGGCGGGGCTGGGCTTCTGTCCCAGCCAGACCAGGACACTTCAAAAGAACGATCCAACCGTCGTTTTCGAGATGACTTACAGCTGTTTGGGGGATTTGCTCTTGACTAACTGCTGGACCAAGAATGTACCAAAAGCGAACGATGGACGTCCATGGTGCAAATAGTACAAAAAATCCAGTCGTTCCATTACAGCGTATTTGTTCACCAGTTCGGGGGATGAAAAATGAGGAAAGTCACTTGACGCATCTAGAAGGAATTTCATCATTATTATGAGCTGATAAACAGTTGAGCACAGAAAATGGCTTTCAGCTACCAAACATGAGATGACAATCAAACACGTCTCCCCTTGTTCTAACTCAAATCTCAGCATACCCGAACCCCACTGAAATTCAAATTCTCATTGTAAAATCAGAACTCTAGATCACTTCTTAGGCCCTCAACTTGCTTTTAAAAGACTGTTTTTCTATCTCATAATACGTTAGAAAAAATTACCTCTGTGAAGACCTAAATGGAAAAAGGTAACCCAGCTGGGATTTAATTGCAAAACGAAATTTTAGTAAATTACACTTTTTTTTTTTGTAAAAGAAAAGGCCTTTTCAGTAAGTCTATCTGCCACGTCATTCCACTGGAAGGTGGAAATCCCAGGTGCTCAGACTAAAAAGCAGATAAAACTTGAAAAGTAACATACCTGAGACAGCAAGAGTATTTGTGGACTGCCAGCCAAATAATTTAGTGGGATCAAAGGGCTCTAATGACTGAAAGATTAGAAACAAAATAGATTGAGACAGCTTGAGATTTTCACATCAGGCCAGACTATAGAATGTTTTAGGGAGCTACAGCAGCAGACTGCCAGGAACAGCCTGGGCTGCTGTCAGGCAGTGATGCATCTTGTGCGGTTCCCTCTCCAAGGCCACATTTATCTGCTCCGTGGGATCAGAACGCAAACAAGCGCAAGGAAAGGCTTAGGCTTTGGTCTGAGGAAACGGGGAAAGAACACGCTGAAGTGTTGTGAAGTCTGTGGTGATCAGCAAAGTTAACACTTCCCCAACAACGAACAACTCGTAGCATTTCTTCCAACTTTCAGCTGCTCTCACACCACACATCTGAAGCAAAGGCATTTGCCCAGAAACGTGTCATGACGGTCCATGAGACGCTACCCTTTAGTTCTACATCTCAACTTCCCTCAGACAATCAAAAACATTTTAATTTTTGTAATGGTAAACAACCACTGACCGCTCCAAGAGTATCACTGCTCTGGCACCCCAGGACTGCTGAAACTGCAGATGTCTCTGCCTGTCTGGGGGAGCGGGTGGAAGCCAGACTCAGGGTATTTAGATACCGTTTTAAAAACCTGTTCAGAACGAAGCTATAAACTTTAGCTCCAAATAAAGGATTCCAAGGAAACAAGATATGGTCCCCACCCTCCAGGCTTTAGCTGAGAACAAGCATCTCTTAGTGCACTTTTGCCCTGCCAAGCAGCAGCTGGTGTACCTGAACAAGATGGTAAAGAGAGATGTCGGGCGGCAAAATTCCATGAGACGTACAAGAGCAGCTTTGAGCTTGGGGTAAGGGGTCAATGCCATTTTTAAGAGCTGTGGGTCAACTTTCTTTAGAGGTTTTTCCGTATCTTCACTCTGAAGAACCTGCATTGCAAGGAAGCAAAATTATTTCATTAGGAAGAAGAAACTGCATTAAGATAACAATAAAACAACCTCTGAATGCACCAACCTCCCTCCCTCATGGGAACTTGACATACAGTGACAACACAAAGTATTTTTTTCCCCTGTAAAATCTTTTTCAGTTATACTAGGACACGTCTTCAACAATACCTGATGGTTCAGGTTACTGTGCTGTCTGCATGAATAAATTCTGTTCCAACATGTAGTTCACCGAGCATTTTTCTTTTAAAAGTATAATTGTTTATAACTTGCTTTTTCAGCTCTACAGCACAGTGCAGCTGGTTAACAAACGTAACCAGTAAGCCAAAGTTTTTGGTAAGTGTCCAGATTTTCAGCCTTTAATAAGAAAAATACAGGAGCTGAGTAACACCTGTAGGGATCCGAGCCGAAGAGCCGTCCAGGCACCCACTGCTTCACTCAAACCCCACAAACACCAGGAAGGGGACAGCTGTCTAACAGCACAGGCACGCTGCTCTAAAAGTTTATTGAACATATTTCTCCAAACCGAAACTATCTGAGGACACAAGTGCCCACACACACTCTCAGCTGTCACTGTCACGAAGGAGTTCAACACCCCAGCCCACAGCCACCGTGCCCCGCTACCTGTAACCCCCCAACCTCGTGCAACCTCGAGCTGCCCTGCTCGCTGCATTTGGTCAGCCAACACTGGAACGCAGAACACCAAAAATGGATTTTTTATGAGAAGAAATGGTACGATGGCACTGCTATATTTATTTTTATTAACGTTTTCCACCCCATGTGAGAACTCCTCCGAAAGCTGATCAATACTTTGTCGCACGCAGTACCTGATCGATGCCTCCAGGCGCGTACATGGTAGTAGCAAGTGCTAAGAGCGTACGTCCTTCCAGCAGCATGCTGCTCACACTGGCTTGGTTACTAGGAATCAAGATCTGAGCATTTGCCAGACTAGCCTGAAAAATCATCTTTGGATCTTAAAAGAAAAGAAGTGAGATTTAATTTCATGCAAAAGCCATATTAAGTCATTAAATCATGCATTACAACTGTTCTATGACTACAAAAAATGCCTAATTTTCTATTTTTTGTTGTTCATAGTGATTTCTCTCAATTATAGATATCTCTCAATATCTGTATAGATACAGATAAGCTGTTCTAAACTCTACCAAGCTTTCGCCAGTTTCAAACCACAGTTTTACCTGCACAGGTTGATTTGTACTGAGTCCCACAGTTTAGCACTGCATTGGCTCAACACCTCACCCTGTGCTGATCACGCTTTCTGAAAAGGCCTGACTTGGGCTTATTTCTATCATTGGTTAACGTGTGACTCTACAAAAGATGAAATGATTTTTTTAAAAAAGTGAAATGAGTTACGGGCACAAATTCTCCTCATTTTCAGTGGCAGTAACAAAAAAGCAAACACACACAATCCAAGGGCCAGAGAAGTCAAAATGCACCGCAAGAACTAGAGGAAGCTTTAGTTTTAACAGCATATGCATTTTCTGATGAATTCTCCTTCTGTTCAGCCTGTTGGGAATATAACCGAACTGGAGGTAATGATGTTCACACAGAAAATAACTCGCATATCTACACCTCCAAGTCCTTACGTACCGCCTAAGCAGGAATCATAATGCACATTTTAGAGATGAGGGACTGACGCACATGTAAATGATCTGCCATGGTCACCCGAAGGTTTGCAGCAGAGCAGAGAACCACGCCCAGCTGTGCCAAATCCTCGCAGCACAAACATCAGACCACCGAGCGAGCGAGGCCAGGCTCCTACCTCGTGGATTACTGGCAACCCCTCGACACTGCACGAGGAATTCAAACCAGGGATGCGCTTCGTGCAGCTCCTTGTCATCCAAAACGGGGCAATTTGAAGGAGTCAAACTGGAAATGAGATGAGTAGCAGCACAGTGAAAACACAGCATTTGTAACCATCCTCTGCCCTAATACCACACTGCATTAAAAACTAAGAGCATCTGACTTGGTGTCACAGGGCTTATTTCATCTGTTCTCACGAAAACGAGTCAAATCACATCACCCTTCTCTACAAGATGTTCAGCTTTAGCTGATACAGCATCTCTGACAGTTGCCTCTTGGAGATTGTTTCTGTGCTTGCTTGCCTCTGTAAATCAAAGTAATAGCTTCCAGACCTGACAACCCCAACACTTTCCAAAGAAGGGACCTGACTCACAAATACCACTCTGCATAGTCCAAGTATTTTATGAAACTAAAATTGACCACACAAACAAACAAACAGATTTCTTGGCTTTTTTCTGGTCCATGTTTACCTTCTTAATAATTACACTGTTAGACTGGAGTTACAGCTCAGAAATTTTAATGGCAAAGTATTCATTAAGTGGAAAGTATTCATACAGTTCCAACAGCTAACACTGCTTTCTCCTTCCAACCCCAACTAATCCTAATTTAGATGGAAACCAGCAATTTCTGTATTTGTGAACTTATCAAGAATAAACTCATACTTGGCTCAAGTGAGATCGCATTGCTTATAACGCTGTACTAACTCCAACTATAGTTGTTTCCTTTAATGACTGGCACACAAATTAATATTGACAAGACAGCCTGAATAAAGCCTCAAAACACAGCATGAACCCTAACACACTGCCCAGCAGTTTGTCATTAAATGACACTGCTGTGACCCAAGCGGGAAGGGTCAAGAAAAACTCTTACTGCCGACTATTAAAACTGCATTTTATTATTTAAATCAGCACAAGATTTGTGGGACGAAAAGCCTTCATACCTGTAATAGTCTAAGTAAGTGTATAACAAGTACTGCAAATTATGCTCTAAACAGTGAAGGACAAAACGAGCGTGGAAGTCCAAACCAGTCGCAGCACTGTATTTGGGAACAGGGTGAGGATGCTGCAGTACGCCCCCAAGGTAAGACAGTCTTTGCAGCAGCAGTTCAAAATCTTCCAACTCAGAACAGACAAAAACTCCATTCCTAGCAGAAAAGAGAAAAAGCACACGCACCGATTAGGCAGTCACCTCCTCAGCAAGGTCTGCAGGGTGTTCTCAGCTCCGAGTTACACGGTGGAGCTTCCCTGCCAGGGGATGACGTCGCTGCTGCGGCAAACAACAAGCGAAACCGCATGTGATGGAACGGGATGGCGGTTACTGCAGTTCGCTGCAGGGAACGAGGCGGGAGGAGGGAACTGCCATGGGTCTAGAATCTTCCCCCTTGCATTAAAATGGGCACCAGGAACATAATCACTGCGAAGGGCTGACAGAGGATCTCCACTGCTCTCACGTTCCTCTGTTCTCAGGCAACGGAAAGTGCCGGTACAGACTGAAATTACATTTGTTAATGCAGTTGTGCTGTTTCAAAAAAGGGCACTAAATCCAACCTAAAAATGAGTATGTCAGAGCTCTTACTCACGCGTGCTTTTATAACTGCCCGACTCTGGCCTCCCGTAAGAAGGCGGTCAGTGCGCTGCGTGAGGGCACGTACCTGGCCAGCTTGTTGAGGATGTCGTTTCTCAGATAGCTGCTGCAGGACGTGTGCCGGTCCACGACGGCTGGGCTGAGAGGGGGCCAGTTGGCTTGTCCACACGGAGCCTGGCTGGGCTCAGACTCCTCAATCCAGGCACAGATACTGAGCCAATCGTGCTGGGCCGTCAAGTGCATCCAAAGAACCTCAGGATTACAGGTCTTGAGTTCTGCGTTTCGAAAAGGCAAGCTGTTGAAACCAGCACAAACACACACGGCCCAGGGAAACACTGACACCTCGCTGCACACAGACACGTTCTGAATGAACAGCAAACACGATGCTGAGGTTAAGTGTGCTGCTACAGCTTGTCACAGCTTTATGCTGGGAATCCAAATGTCAGACACAGTGGAGTGACCTCTACAGACCGCGGCAGAGCAGGACATTTACAACAAGCGGCCTTGCATTAGACAAGTCCCTTCCAGCGAGTTCCTCGGTTTTCTCCACAGCAAAAGCACAGATCCCAGCCAGAAGGCAACAGGATGAAAACACCCCCAACACCCATTTTCACTGACAAAAAATAAGCGACCTCCTGCGGCAGCACACAACGTTACTTCCATCAGTGCCACTCCTACACAGCTGCAATCTACTACGACAAAGACAGATTTTTGATCCACAATTTCTTTCAAGTCCTTGGTACCAGAATACTTGCCTTGGCGTGGCCTTCTGGGGAGAAGAATCATTTCCCGAACAGACTCATCCCACCACTGGGCCCAGTCAAACATCACCCTGACTCTCCTGTTGTGAAGCTGATGTCCGTCACAATTCAACGAGTCCAGAACGGCCGTATGTCTGGAGAAGTCTTGTTCCCTTCTCCAGTTCTTGAAACTAAAACGAAGTATTGCGTTAGGTGTTTTAAAAACCAGTCCACAATCTAACAAATAGAAGATGGTGAAAGGGTCAACAAATTTTGCTAATCCAATTTTAAGAGAGTTCTGGAAGTGACAGAGAGACTGACTTCAGCTAAAAGTCTGAGAGTGCATATGAGAGCAGTGAGCAGAGAACCACCTCATTTTTCCAAAACTGACAGAGCAAATGATAAGTATCACAACGGTTTTACAATTATTCAACTGTAAAATGATTTTTCTACGTTACTTTAGTTTGCTGTATCATGGATATCATATATCAAAAATAGAGCAAACATGCCACCTGACCACATTTCATTTGATTAATAATTCTAATAATATCATTTGTTATTAAAAATACTTCATTTATAGTGATGATGACACGAACACAAGACCTCTGTTACACTGACGATAGTACATCACGACTTAGTCTGGAAAGAGCACGACAGCAATCGTTACGTTAATGAGAAAAGTAATCAGTTCCCACAGGGACCCTTATTTCTGCAAACGAAGACCAGTGTGAAATCACTGAAGTTACAGGAGACTGTTAGTGCAGTAAATCATACGGAATGTAGAAGCCAGCATATTTTAAATCCTATTAACGTTATTAATTAAAAATTAAAATTGATAACCCACATTACCTGGAAAGAGACTGAATCTCTTTATTTTCTTGGAAGGATTCCGAGTAAAAGATTTCAACCTGATGCACAAAGTCTATCATTTTCTTCTCTTTTTCAGAAAAATAATTTTCTTCTTGTAAAACTTTCACCTTTAATTCAAATTAAAGTATTACCTCAAATCACAGTTTTTATAATAAAGTTGTAAATGATCCTGCAAGTGTAAAGAGTTAACTGACTGTAGGAAGAAGTGCTGGAAGCCTTGAGGTCAATACACTTAAATGACAAGAGGGCCAGGACTGCATACTGGGTGCAAGCAGATGAGAACATCACAGCCAGGACAAAGAAACGACATTTTAACCGACTTCTACTTTAACTGCAAATACAGAAGAACACAGGCACGTCAATGACGCGTTTCAGCAACTACCCGGCAAGGATGCAGGGACAAACCCTGTTTGTTCGCACTCTGGGGGTGTGTTCAAGACCAGGCTTTCACTCAGCATCCACTCACGCCCGACTTCAGACCTGAGAACACAGCTGGGCACGGAAAAGCTTTCTCTACACTTACCAACAGGTCTCGCACACGCCTATCAACGGTGTAGAAACATATCTTACGCAGCTCCTCCTTCACATCAAAGCCCTAACAAAACACAAGAGACTCACTGTACGCAAACCGCGCAAACGCATCCGCTCACTGACAGAATAAGCACCCGCCTGCGTCCCAAAGCACCCAGCCTCTTACAAACGCGCTTGTGACAGTCACGTCACCAGCTGCCGTCATCACCCAGGGGTCTGTGTGACTCCAGCACGTCTGGATAGACAATGTGTGTGTGCCCTTTAACTCTTGGCTTGCCAGAATCACCTTTGCTTTGCTGATCACGACATCAGGCCTTGCACGCTCATTAACAGGCTCCCCCAGCATTCTGCAGGCATTAGTGAGCAAAGCAGTTCTTCAAAACAAGTTATGTTCCACTGCAAAACACGCATGTGGTAGAATCAATCCCCCCCTAAGACACCTACACGCTCCCCATCGCAGCACTCATTTCGTTAGTCGGCAGGAAGCGCTACGAACGATCAGCACGCTGACTGAACGCCTCTCACCATGTTTCTTAAAAGTTCCGAGGCCTCTTTGGTATTCTCCTTCAGAAGGTGGTCATAGACCAGGTTCAAACCTGTCTGAATAAATTCCTGAAGACTTTGAGCAGGATGCTGATGCATCCGGAAGAAGGTCTGGGCCTCTGGCATTTTGTTGCTCAAGATGGCCTCAGCGATGACTTCCTAGAAGGGGGAAAAAAATGGAACAAACTGATCTCATTAACCTTCAGTGTTACTGCCTTCATCATCCCCACATTGATTTTTTTTTCCTCAATATTTTAAAGACATTTCCATATTAATAATTTCCTTAAATACACTTAATAAGAATAGTAAAAAATGGATTACTCATTTTTACCTCTGCTGTCAGTTTTTCCCACCGGTGGCTTTCTTCTAACGCAGGCAGCTCTTCCTCAAGATCACTCCCTGTGGGTACTGTGTGTATTTGGGGTCGAGGGTATTTTCTCAGAAACTTTCTGAGTTTAATAATGTAATCAGTTAAAATATCTGCACCCTTCTGCAGGAATTCATCAGGTTCTGTGAAAAGCATCCAGGACACCAGTTACACAGAAACGCTCAGGCACGCTGAGGCGCTCTCCCGACTGACGATCACGGGGAAGGAGCACATCAGCTCTGCGTCGCAGCCCCAAGTGCCCAGGCACAGACACTGCCCACCCCCATCAGCACACTGTCAGGAGACAGTCACCAGCCACATCTCCAGAGAGGGGCCCCTGTCCTCACTCCTGTGTTTTCCCCTTCAGGGACAAGTAAAAGAACTGAATTTTTTTTATTAATCCAACCAATTAGTAGTTAGCTCCCATTTAAAATGCAGGGGCTTTGAAACACAACATTCATATAGTAAGAAACAACGTCTACTAAAAATCATGTAGAGAACAAGGATTAACAGCTAGTGGTCTGCACCTCTTACTATGAGAAGAGATCAGTTCTGCTGTAACACGTGTAGCCTGGTGGTCCACAGACTAAAAACCGTCACTGAGCAGCAGCTGAGGACACCACACTACGTTGGGACATGTCACCCTACTCGCCATAGTATCTCTAGCAAGACCAAATTGTCCTCTGGAATCCTGACGTTTCAACGCCTCACTAGTACACCAGCTGCTACGCTATTCTTGTGCCTTCTAGGCTGCAGTGCAAAGAGCAACACTTGAGCAACCGTGCCAGTCTGAGCAGCCACGCACTCCCACACCCAGTCTGCAACCCACATCGGACACTGCTTCTTGCTTCTGTGCCACCCCTCGGGTTGTACTGGGATGTGTGACTGTGTTACCACACCGTAAATCGGACTGGGAAGTGCTCCAGACAAAAAAGACCCTGGTAGGCTATTTTTTCAGCTGTATCAGTTTCTTAAACCAGTCTATTCCATTCCACAGCCACTTAAATATTTGTGCCAGAGCATTTCATGTGGCGGCACTGAGAAAAGAACGAGCAGCTGACGGCTGAACTCCGGCCATCTAACGGCACCACCACCCAGGACCCAGCAAGAGCCTGTAAGTCCCACTCTGCCGTTCTCACGCATCCCCAAATGATCCTGCCGACAGTACCCTGCCTGATCTGAGGGCCTGACCACAGTTGTTTGGGCTAGCACAGACACTGTGTTCAGATTAATTTCTCATGTTGCCCCTTAAACAACATATTTCATTCACTTAACTCTTTCACAGGGTTTTTTTTCTGTTAGTTCTAGGCAAATTTAGGCTTTCAATTAAAAAAAAATCAGTTGTTCTTATTTACCTAAACCATGACACATTACACTACTACATATGATTCAAAATTAGCAACAATTACCTTCCGTGTGCACAAAAATTTCTTCAAGTTGTTTGCTAAGGAAAGTCAACGTGAGGTTTAGCAGCTGCTCAGAGAAGTGTTTACTGTGAGGCTCCAGGTCATTTTCTCTGATTGCTGAGCAAAGCAAGTTTAAAGCTGGTCTCAGCTCTTCCAAATCTGCAATATTTACATAAAAAGTTAAAACACCTGCATTCTACCCCAGGACTGATGACATACATTTAAAATGTAAAATTCATAGAGGTTTGCTACAAAAATCTTCTAAAATGTGTCAAACAGTGCATGTGACATGCTTTGCCCTCACACCAAAATGCTGACATCAGAACACAACAGCAAACCCCACCCGTTATGGGCCATTTCGCTCTCATTTCCCAGAAGCAGAGAAGCTGCAGTACAGCATCCCCCAGCACACCCGAGCACAGGCAAGCCAGTCTGCTTTTACAAACTCAGCCATAAGCAGAAGGGCAACGAAGGGCAAACCTCCACGTAGCTGAAGTATTTACTTACTTCTCAGGTAAGACCGGGACGCGCTATCAGCAGACTGTTCAGGTCCAGCGCGGGGTGCAGACAGATTGAAAAGACTTTCTTTGCTTTTTAAAAACAAGTCCACTGTGTCTAGCTGACGATTTTCCAAACCTGCCTGGACAAACGTGCAGCAGAACAATTATGGGGGCATTCCAAAGACACGTACCGTGCGCTGACCGCCAGGATTTGTAGCTCATACTCGGTGACAAAGTACACATGCAGAAAAAAGAAGTTAAGCAGAAAAAAAGGAGAAATTAAACTACATGTGCAACACCTGTAGCCTGAAAGCACCAGGTGACCTGTTCAGTACCCGCCACGCTCCTGTACCAGGCTCTGCAGAAACCCTGCCCCGTCTCTTCAGAGACAAAATGTTAACTCAGCAATTTATTACAGAGTTTGTTTGGGGATATCAAATAAGTACTGGGGGCACCAGGACTTGAATAAGCTTGCAGCAACTGGAAATTGCTGTGACTCTCCCCGCTATCAATTCACTCTCCACCACACCCTTCAGTCCAAGGAAGCCCCCGAACGGCCTCAGCTGGGCTCCCCCCTCCAAACACAGCTGAAAACCCCCACTGGCAGTGTGCGGACAGGCGCTACCCAGTCCCAGGCTTCTGGGACAATATTTTTTATTAAACAAGGATCTCTCCTCTAAAAGTAGAACCACAGCACTGGAAAACTGCAGGGACACAAGGAGATTTGTTCTGTGGTCTGGTACATTAAAAACGTTTTATCACCTACTTAAGGGATACGAAGCAACATTTGGCAGCTTTCAGTTCTCCTCTTGGCTTTAGAAGTGGTATGATAAAACCAAAAATCTAGTTCTGAGGATTTATTTTAATATTTGACACTTCAGGAGCATAAAAACTGCTGCAGAGATTGGCAAGAATGCTTTTGGGTCCAATTAGGAGGGATGTTTGAGCACTGCTTAGTTTGTGGGGTTTTTTGTTCATGGGCATTAACTTTGTTGCTGTATTTCTTCTTTTGAGTTACTCACTTGGGTTACTCTGGTTTTTTATTGTTTATTTAATAACCAAACCACTACTTTTTGCCCCTAGGTTACTGAGGCATACTTCTAATTGTGTCTAAACCCACCGCTAACATTGCTAAACTGCATCATTACTTCAAACAAGTATTTTTGTTATTCCTTTACCTCTAGCGCGTGTATTGGGATCGAACACCGTTCCCATCCGTTGAGGTGACAAACAGAATCTACGACTCCCGCGCTGCCATAGATCATCAGTCTATTCAAAAACTCTTCCTGAGTCAAACCGAACAGAACTAAGGAGAGACCGCGCTCTAAAGAAAAGAATCAAACCATCATTAGAAATACATAAGCCAGCTGATACACAGCAACGTTTCTCTCTCCCACAACAACGCTGCAAAGCTGCAGGGGCTGCATTTGGACGTCACCTCTGCAGGAACGCATCAGAAACGAGCCAACAGCAGCCAGGCAGACAGGAAAGAGCAAAAAAAAAAGAGAAAAAGCTTTTATCAGAGGGCTCCAGCAGAAGGCTCAGCCAAAAGCCTCACCTGTCAGCAGCAGACACAACGGCACCTCGTCCCTGCCGTCCACGTAAACACTGGTCTTGCCAAAGTCGTAGTAGGTCACATCTTGCGACTCAAAATCCCAGAGAGCAAGAGTCAGGCCTTTGCCAGTCGTTTCTACTGCAAACAGGGCTTTCACTCCAGTCACCAGTTTACACTCCAGCCGCACCACTTCTTGTGGTGCTTCTGCGGGGATGGGCCTCCATCGCTGCCTCGCGTCGCTGAGGTTCGTCCCGTCGCTCTGGAAGGGGTTGGAAGGGGCCCACGCAGCAGTCCGCGGAACAAAAGCCACCATCCCCTCAGAAGTTTCATAGATTTCAGGATCATGATCTTCAAGATGGGTAAAAAACTGATACCAAGGTAAATTCAAGTCATTCCCCAGCGCTGCAGAACCTGGTCGTCTTCTCCGTACTGTATCACACAGCGAGGCTAAGTGTGCCTTCCAGGACCTGGGGTGAAGCAAGAAGTTACCTATAATACCAGGTATTACTCCAAGAACGATGCAGACAAATAAACTGTAAGTCTCCTCAGTTAAATAATACGCATTTTAAGCTTATATAGATCCAGCATCTTGTGTTTTAACCTTAACACGTCCTGTTTATTTCTATTTAAATACTGTTTGCACCCAAGTTGGTCACAGCTGCATCAGCTGCCAACATCCACGAAGCTGAGCATTTCTACAGAGAATTTTCTCTTCCTCACAGAAAATGCCCCCATCAATTTAAAAAAAAAAAAAAAAAGTGGAATGAAATTAATTCCAGAATCGAGTATTTCTTAGATCTACATCAAGTTATAATTAACAGATTTTATTAATATCTCTAATAGTCACCACACGGTTAAACGTTTTACCTGAACACAAAATATTTTGAAGTCCACCCACACTCATCTGGGCTAAACATGCAACAAACTGCAAAGAACTTGGAACACAAAAATCTGCCAACACTGGTTCAAACCAAAGGTAACACCCCACACAGCAATTACTGTCTGGAAGCTGTTTGATGACAGATGTAACGCTGTCTCGGCCCACTTCCTGACATCCCAGCAGTCAAAAGATTTAAAGCAGAACGAGACGATTTTACTTGCCACAACTCCAATTAAAAAAAAAAAAAATCATCCGTTTAGTCATCAGTGACCTACAGGAGGCAAAACCCGGCCTGTTTTAGAAAGGATTCTCCTTGTGTACCTGTCTGTGCGGAAAGGCAGCGGCAGAAGCTCCATGCTGTACTCAGAACTAGCAAGGTCATCCTCATCGAGGCCTTCAGGAGGCTCCACCGGAAGACTTTCACAATCTCTCTTACAGAGCAAATGCCCAGGGAACTGTCTGCAAAGAAATAAATACTAAATTTCACTTCCCTCGGATGATTTAAGATTTTTTTTCCTTCACGCTGAACGCCTCCAGGAGCTACCACCCAGGCAGTTTTCTCCAGATTCACAGCATTCACAAAAACGTACCCAGGGCAGTCATCCAAGCCTGATGCTATTGCCTTTGAGGGGGACATCACCTCTAAACTACAACCCAGTCCTAATCCATCACACAAGATCACCCAAGCTGTATCAGAACAGTTTAACAACCCCATATGTACAGCATCTCTAAAAGGTGCTGCCACCCACCGCTGGCACTGACTGACAGCACGTACCCTAATCTTCCTGCAACAAACACCGAGTTTTTCTATTGGTTTAAACGACAGAGCATGAATTGGAGCAAACAGTAACGCACCACCTTTAAACAAATACGAAATTCCCACCCTGCCACAGAGCCAGACCCCAAACCAAAAAGCTGAACAGCATCTCAACCGTTAGGGGACCAAGACGAGGCACTTTTTACCGTCAGCTGGACTCCACGCTTTCACTCGGGACTCCCGCTGCGGACGTACCTGAAGTAGGTGTTCAGATCCACAGCGATGGCGTGGTTGGAGGAGCTGACGACCACGGCCACGCTGAGGTCGTGCGCCACCTTCACCGCGGCGAGCGGCGCCGCGACGCTCGGGCTCCCGCCCTCGGCCTGCCCGCCCCCCTGCCAGAGCGCCACGTCCACCTTCGCCAGGGTCGCGCCATCAAAGGAGTCACAGACGTCTTCCAACAGCGTCAAAGAAAACACCCGGTGCACGAGTGACCGACAAACGAGAAGGTCCAGAGAAGGGGTGAGTTTTGGTGACTGGGTGCTCCAAGGCAGCCCCTGCACAAGGGAACACTGCAATGGTTTCACAAGAGATTTCTGGGCTGAGCCAGGACCAGGAGCGACTCGTGCTGGGGCTGCACGAACAGCCAACCCGGGCCGTCGCAGCAGAGCTCATTCACACTCCGCCGCGAACCGGGACAGACAGATACGGGCAGTTACATCGTTAGGGGGAGAAAGGAACCTGACGTCCCTGCGCTTTCTTACGTGCGAGTCAGAGCTCACCAAGCCAAGGAGGGCCAGGGACAGCAGGTGTAGCCTGTCACACGCAGCTCCACGGACCAAAACCCCTGAAAACCGCTAGCCCAGGGCGAGGCAGATTAACAGGGGCACGTTGAGAAACCACCTTTGATACGTGACTCCCACATATTTTACTACAACCCCCAGCATTTCGCTACACAACCCCTCCATGAAAAGCCTCTTCAACACGGACACCTGAACACCTTCCGAGAGATTTCTGCTTAACCCTGACAGAAGGAAAAACGACTTTGTTGTTCCGGATCATTCACGCCGAGAGCCGGTCTCCGCTGCAAAGGATACAAAGCCAGCCAGAGCGATCCACCAGGAACAGGAGCCCCCTGCAGAAGTGTGTAGCTGTTATTCTCTCCAAAACTGGCGGAGGCAAATCAAGGGCGAAGCAGTCACAGGTCTCTAACGGCGAGTCTTTTCCAGGAAAGGTGAGATGTACAACAATAAACATGTTGAGCAGAAGTATGCACCGGTTGTTGCCAAAAGACAGTATCCTCAAAGAGACAATTGAAGACAGACCTGTAAATGTAAAGATATTTTAGGATTACAACCACCTTGTACTTTTGATTCGTAAAGATATCTCAGGAAAACTACAGCTCAAATTCTTTGCCTCTGCTACCACCTTAACAAAAGCTGGGATTGGGGAGGGGCTTGTTTTGTTTTAAACCTCACTTTCTACGTCAGGAGCACTAATTTTAGAATGGTTTCCTAAAACAGCGCAGGCTTTTTCAGTGGACAATACTATGAAGAACACAAAAAATCACCACAAAACAGTATTTCAGTCAACACTGAAAAGTTATAACCTGTGGAAATAAAAATACTCTAGGGAGGGAGACAGTTGAAGAACACATAAAACCTCAGAGGCCCTGCAAAGGCTGTGCATTCCGACTGTACGCTGCCTTTGCCAACGACAGAACATGGCGTTAAACCCATAATCAGCCCTTGCAGGATCAGTGAGGAGCCCTGTCTGCTCTCTTCCCGTCAGTTCCAGAATTAATGGGAAAGTTTGATATAGCAGGTTGCATGAATATGCTTTATTAAAGTTTATTTTTAACTTCATACCATCGAACACCGAACTCTCCAACAGCTTAATTCCCTCTAACCACGTCATCTCTGAATACAGAACCATCTCTGCCACTTTTCAAGGCCATCAATACTGCTGATGGCTTTAAATCAGTGTGAACGCAGTCAAAGCGTTTGACACTTCCCTAGCATTGGGTCCTCCTACCTCTATTTGTTTCACCAGGTGAACCAGAATTAGACCTGTAACAATTTCAAGTATGGAAGAGACATTAAAATTTACTCACTAATGTTTTTAACTTCAAGGAGCTTTTTAAGTGTATCTTCCTTACAACTGTACAGGGAAGCCGGGTTGTATTTTCCATCTTCTACAGAGAATTCATAGACAAACAGTTCATGACTTTGACTAAGAGCCAGTATTTTTGTCTTGTCTGCTTGCAGATCACCATCTTCTGCATCCTCCCACATGAAGCTGAAGATACAACATTCAGTACGTTTATTGACCTTCACCTCTTTCCACATTTCACACCCTGAACGGCTCTGGAAGCGTGCTGCTGAGGGACACTGTCAGTTTAATCTTTTGCAGGAAAGATTCTGCCACCCCCCCTCCCCTCCCCACACTAGTACATATTCCATCCCTAGCAGAGACTGCAACGCACGACAGCACTTGAGGAATCCCTGTGTCTCTTCCCCTCAAGAACACCGGGTTTTTCTATCCTTGTGTGGTTTTTTTTCCTTTAGTCATCCACGATACGTGGCACACGAGTGAAGCTCTACTTCAGGACTTCTAGGGGGAGGAACACCAGCTCTGCCAGCTAGGGTGAAGCAGAGCACGTTGCCCATTTCAGCATGTTCTGCCTCCCCGTTGCTGAGGCCGAGGAACTCTTCAGGTGTCTGTCTCCGCACCTGCTCGTATAGGGAGAGGGGAGCAGGCAGGGGGAACAGCCGGATGGACAGTCAGGATGGCACAGAGCGAAACACAGGACTAGGGCACCGAACAGTGCCGGCATTGCTTGGCCCTGCAGACATTCAGAAATGCAACGTGTGGTTCTGACTCAGCATGAAAAGCTCCTAAAGCAGATTAAAAATATCTTGTGATTGCTAAATGTCATGCACAAGAGCTCGCCCCTGACCAGCAGACAAGGAAGTGAAGCAGTCAGGGCACTATGAAGCCAGCAACTCCACAAAACGAGATGAATTTTCTTCTTCTTTTTATTTTCTGACCTACTGTAATGAATACACCCACAGCCAAACAAGCAGGTATAAACCAACGTCCCCTCCAGCAACGGGATTTCAAGTGGAAAGCATCCCATTTCAAGGCAGGGTTTCCAAGTTTCCTTCAGGGCCTGCCCTCGCCTCTGCAGCACTGCTCCCTTGCGGGGAGCGCCCTCAGCCCCTGGGGTCCACCCGGCGCCTCTCACCAAAACAGAGCGACGCCGGGGGACCCCTCCCGGCCTCCCCATCCCCTGCTCGCCCCCTGCCACTTACTCAGCCCATGCTCCCGGGAGGACGCTGCCCCGGGCCCGGCCGCCTCCGCTCGGCACCAGGGACTGCAGGTAGATCCCACCAGGGACCAGGAGGCTGCCCAGAGCGTCCTGGCCCCTGCTCAGCCGGACCCAGGCTGCGTCCCGCAGGGAGCCCTGCGCCTCCGCGGAGGGGGACGCCAGCAGGACGCGCAGCTCCCGCTTCGCTCCCGCCATCCTCCTCAGGGACGGCCCTCCCAAACACCAGCCCGCCGCCATCTTGGATGGGGCAGCTCTTCCTTCCGGTCAGCGGACAGCGCTGACCAATGCCGTGCCTCGACTACAACTCCCATCAGGCACCGCACGGCAGCGCCGGCAGGCGGGTGT